CTAATGACGGAAAAGCTAAGCCGTACTGCAAACTTTGTGAACAAATGTTAACTTGTTCAAAACCGGAATTAAACGGCATGCTAGTAGCAAAAAACATCAAAGTAAAGAGAAATTGACTTCAACAACCATGTCTCTTGGTCATATGGTGAATCAAATCAGAAATGAGAACGATATTGCAACATCTATGGAAGTAAAAATTTGTGCATTTATAGCCGAGCATAATTTACCTTTATCAATCTCAGAAAGTATGGTCAGACTTCTTTCCTCAATGTTTCCAAATGATGCTTCCTTGAAGAAAGTCAAACTTGGAAAACAAAAGGCAACCAATATTCTGCGTCAAGTTCTCGGCTTTGATTATCTTCAGGATATGGTAACATTGTTGCAGTCAAAGATGTTCAGTATAATCATTGATGAAGCTACTGATAAAAGTGCAAAGAAACAACTTGCTATCATTGCTGTTTTCTTTGATTTGGAAAAATTTGAGTTGCAATATTGGCTGGTAGACTTGGTCGAGACAGCTGATGGAACTGCAAATGGCATTTATTCAAAGATTAAGGAAACATTCCAAGGAATGAATATTCCAGTTGTAAACATAGTGGGCTATGCTTCAGATACAACAAACGTCATGTTCGGACAGAATCATTCTGTCTCACAGTTGCTGAAATCTGAAATCAGTCATGTTCAAATTGTAAAATGCTCCTGTCATCTTATCCACTTGGTATCATCACAAGCAGCTTTAAAGCTTCCAAAAAGTGTTGAAGACCTGTGTAGAGATATATATGCTCATTTTCACAGGTCTTCAAAAAGACAGGACACTTACAAAGAATTCCAAGCATTTTTTGAAATGGAACCACATAAGATGTTATCTCCATCACAAACCAGATGGCTTTCTTTGCAAGAATGTGTTGCTCGTATATTAGAGCAGTATGAAGCTTTGAAACATTACTTTGTTCTTGTAGCAAGTGATGACCCATCTAATACCAATGACCGAATTCTTGCTTCACTTCGGAATCGATTTGTTCAAGCATACCTAGAATTTTTAAGTTTTCAACTTGAGAGATTTAATGGATTTAATCGGTTATTTCAAAGCGAATTCCCTCTCCTACACTCTCTTAAACCAGAAGTGGAGAAACTTATCAAAGAAATTGCTAGTGATTTCATGGATATCCCCACTGTGAAAACAATGCAAGCAGATCAAATTGATCCCACAACACTGAACACCATGTTCCATTGCAACAAGTTTACATTGGCCTTGGAGCCAAAGCTACTATCCAAGAAATTGAGCATGGTGCAACAAAACAGGATGTAGAAAAATTCTATACTGATTGTAGGAATTTCTTAATTGAAAGCATCCTGCAAATCCAAAACCGCTTTGATTTAAAAGCAGAATATCATGAAATTGTCGAGTGCCTAATGCCAAGTAATGCTTCTTCAGTGATGCCAGGATCACTTGGAGAAATTTGCAAAAAGTTGCCTTACCTTAGTAGCATTCTTGATGTCAAAAATCTGGATATGGAATGGCGGAAACAAGCATTTGAAGATAAGGCTAGTCCAGATCTTCAATGGTGCGATTACTGGAAGATGATTCGTGATTGTAAGACAGTGTCTGGAGAAGCAAAGTATCCCAACCTTATGAAATTTGTGGCAACATTGGCTTCATTGCCTTTTTCAAATGCTGCAGTAGAAAGAATATTTAGTCAACTCAAACTTGTGAAAACAGATCACAGAAACAACTTGAAGTCTTCATCACTGATTTCCCTGCTTCAAAGCAAAATGGCAATGAAGAATGGCCATTACTGTGCTGCTAGCCTTAAACCAAGCAAAAGATTATTAGGACTTGCCTCCGCAATGAAATCCAATGCAACTGATGAAGAAGTAAAAACAATAAAGCATGAATTTTTAAGCAAGTTGAAGGTTTAGACTTTAGAGATATATAAGATTTTTATAACTTATGTTGGTGCATGTCAAGGGTCTAAATATTTATATTAATATTTTGTTGATATTAAAATATTTCATTAATTATGGACATCCATCAGACACAAATAACATATTTGTTATTCTATAGTGAACTATAATTAAGAGTATTTTGACTTTTTTTGAGTATATTATATATTGTCAGGTATCAATTTATCTCATTTACACTGGGAACATATGAAGGAAATTTGAAGGAAATTTGATCATTTTTTCGAAGGAAATTTGCTGTAAAAAAAGGAATTTAGGCCTAGAAAAAGGAAATATACGATTTCAAAAGTGGAAACACTGATAATATCCACTGAAGTTCCGATTTCAAAATGGCTAGAGCCGCTTTAGCCCAAATCACTGCATTAGCCGCAGTATTTTTGAGCGTTTTTCTGGCGATAACGCTAATGAAATTGGACGCAAACATTGCTTTTAACTGGACCAAGATCAAGGAGATTCTTAGTGGTATCGCTTTCAAATCTATAAACTATTGCCTAATTGGTAAGTTAGTGAGAGAATCTACGCGGATGTAAAATCGTACTATACATTCGCTAGTATATAAGCATCGCGACAAGTTACTACGGGTTGATATTTCATATTTCGAGTCGATGCAAATCGTCGGCTGTCGCCTCGGGTAGTCGAGCGATCGCTTCTGATGTTGTTTGAGAACGTGACAGAATCATGAGGGATTTAGAGTGAGCTGTGTTTGCATAATCTACCCAACCTCAAAATATGCCCGGTTTCATTATACGTCGGTGCACGCAGGCTAGGTTTTAATAGATTCTTCAAAAGCTACCTTCATGAGATGTGCAATTCCTAGACTAGTGGAGAATTCCTAGCTTAGTGGAGAATTCCTAGCTGAGTGGAGAATTCCTAGCTTAGTGGAGAATTTCTAGCTTAGTGGAGAATTCCTAACTTAGTGGAGAATTCCTAGCTTAGTGGAGAATTCCCAGATTAGTGGAGAATTCCTGGCTTAGTGGACAATTCCCAGATTAGTGGAGAATTCCTAGATTAGTGGAGAATTCCTGGCTTAGTGGGATCAAATAAATCACCGTTAATAGATTGATAGATGTAATAAAACCTGGAACGCTAACTTGGCCGCCATCTTTGAAGCCAAATGTGAAGGTTTTCTGAGTTTTGGAACGTTTGAGACGTTTGAGTAATTATCTATAGGAATGTCTAGAACTATGTAAAATAACAACAACGAAAAACAGAGACAAAAACTCAGTTTTTTATTCAATTTTTGGCTTCAACCAAATATTACGCTAAAAATAAGATATGCTAGTCTTATTTTTTGCAATATAAGCATACTAAAGTATCTTCTTTTCGGAATCAAAAGTTGGTCTATTATTATGCAAGTGATCCATTGAGCGTTAAAATAATCAATTCCCATTCTTACGCACGTGTTATATAGAATCCGACCAATGCAGTGGGGAAGTTATCGCCTACTACAAATTTGACCGATCTTTTAGAGATGTGTGCTTTGGCCACAATGCCCATAAAGAGAGAAACGTGGTGAGGGATATTTCAGAAGGCATAGCGAACAGCGCAGCCCGTTTCTACGATCATTATAAAATATCATATCTCTACGTACCCAGTCTATACGGTTACGAATGGGGCTCGACCTTCTCTGTCAGTATCTGGTTCAAAAACGTAGAAATTGTACGGGACGAAATCCGAGGTCTCATTAATAATGGCCCAGCGGCTATACAGAAACAAAATCAGCACAAATCATTCCGGAGATCTCCGACAACACCAAACACCTTAGGAAGCTGGCAAATACGAATTGCATCGCAAAAATTCATTGGTGCATCCATCGTGACATCACACTCAGCCAAAACCTGGCAGAACATAACGACTGCTATTTCAGACCATTGGCATCACTTTGTGATGACCTACGACGGTTCGACGATCTCGTTTTACCACAACAGCCACCTTAAGCTGACCGATTCGAGTTGCTATGGCAACATTCTCAGCAAAAATTCCCAGGTTGTGATGGGACACACGAAAACGAGAGCGCGTAACGGGAGTGGAGAGATGAAAGACGTGTATTTTAATGGCTACATGGACGAAGTGATATTGTTCAAAAAAGCCCTGACCGCTAAACAGGTTACAAGACTTTACCAGCTTAAGGTTGTTTAAACATTTTAAATAATACGAACCATTTAAAAAGCTGAATATTCATTTCACACTGCCGTGTTGGATGCCTTACTCCCAACTCTGACAAAATATTTTTAATTGAAAAACACTTAATTAATTTTGTTACTAAGCCTATGACTGATATATGCTTTCTTAATTTTGACGCTATTATACTAATTTGTTTAACTTATTTTCGTTTATATTTTGTTAATATGATTTGTAACGAATGTGTTGATATGATTTCTAATGAAATATATTTGTAACGAAGTTGCTTCCAACAGATCGGAAGAAAACGAAAAGGCAGACAGTTATCTAAAGTAGGAAAAGGGACTTTTAGCCCCTATTGTTTCAGCCGTGGAGAAATATCACTTTAAACAAAACTTGGGGAGATAAGTGAATTTTAGCCCCCCCCCCTCCCTGTTTACCCGTACGCTCTGTGCAAAACATCATTGCCAACACGTGTATCATTTCTTACCTTATACATGTCCTGAACGCACCCCCGATCCCTCATGATTTCATTAATACTTTTTCCCGCCTTCCCCGGATAAGAGACCAGAACATTCACCCCTCCTGGAAAATATACAACTCAATTTTCAGTTTGACCTTTGCAATCCGGGAAATAGAGATTTCAAATCGACGTGCATCAAAACAAAACCGTTATTACTGCAAAGCATTATTTCGGGGAAGTTGAAGATTTCACCAATACAAATTGGTCAATGAGTTTAATTTGCATGCGTGTTACTGTTTATTTCATGGATTTAAATCCACATAATCTCAAGTTGAAGTTATAAAATACAGTATCAGTTAGTACGTTATAGAATTTTTTGTTCTGCGGCCAGTTGTATAACTATAAGACTAGTTAATTTTTAACTGTAGTTAAGGACAGAATTACAAAGAACAGAATTACAGAAAAACAAAACTAGAATTTAACTATATATGCAAAATGTAGTTAAAGAGTTTTATACAACCGCTTTCTGTACTCTGTAGTAACACTGGATGAAAAAATAACAACAAATATATTAAGTTGTTCAACTACATCAACCATACAACTCACCATGCGTGTTTTCCGAAATAAATTTGACACTCACAAGTTGCCCAATGATAAGATTTTTCAATTGCTCAATTCCCTAAATACAGGAATATTGATAAAACAATAAACAACGCGTGTCAAACAGGGCTTGGAAAAAGTGGTAGAATGTGAAAATATGGCACGGCAAAATTCACTATAGTTTATGTATTTATGAGCGGGAAAAATCCTCGAGCTCAAAATAGACAAATGTAGACAAAGTTAAGGAATTTTACGTTAACACTTTTGCTGCGATTTTATGTGCGATTTTTTTCTTTTGATAGATGTGAACGAGTAGTTAGTTACGAATGTTCTGATGTATGAGAACTCTTATTTAAACATCAGTAACTAATTCACTCGTTAACATCGATTGAAAGAAGAAAATCGTACATAAAGTCGCAGCAGAAATTGCAAGTGTAAAAAGGCCTTTACAGACACAGTATTATAATTTTTACGTTTTACAATATTAGCCGTAAGCAAACTTTGCGCAGTTTTTTTAACTCAAAGACTCAAACTCTTTCAGTCTTTCTATAGTATAGTATAATAAGTGTAGTGTTGCATTTTGTTCGTAGTTGGAACCAGTCCAGAGTTCTGCAGTCCAAAATTAAGTTGAGGGCCTTTTAAGTTTAGCGTGTAAACCGATTATTGTATTACATGTCTTACCAATGCGTATGTCATCTCGTTTGCCTCGGGATCACTGGACACAGCACAGTCTGCGAGATGATAAAGTTGTGCAAATGGTCGGACGTCAGCCAATGAGGGTGGCAACTCAACTAAGGTTTCCTTTTTAATTGTTTCTGTGTTGCCAAAATCAATGTACCTCACAGTTACCTTAAAACAAAAAGTTGTCGGGCAGAATTAGTTCTTTCTTCAAACCTAATGACAGTGAGTTTTCGAACCTAATGACAATTCAGACTGGATGCGATGCCCCTGGGTCTTCAGTAAAAGCAATTTATACTTCTATACTACAGTGTATTTCATTGTTATCTCAAAGACTCAAACTAAATTGGCTATCTAAACCGGATAAATTCTTAAGTATAATTTTTATGTTCATTTTTTTCACATTCGTTTTCATACCAAAACGGTTTCAAACACTGTCATAATTTACAATAGAAGTTGAAGCTAATTTAATTTTCCTTGGATCTAAACTGATAATAAAATAGACAAAAAAGCTCAAACATGACACTTGTATTCAATTTAACAAACTACCAGTTCAAAAAATTTCTTTTCAGAGATCTAGTAAAGGTGATGTTTTTATCACTCCAGTCTACTAAGAGTATGCACATGGGTCAATTTAAGAGACATAATACTAAAACATTTTTAACTTACCATCCCCTGTGAAAGAAACTTGATAACCGAACATCTATACCAAAGATTATCAACAGGGTACATTCCACCATAAATCTACACAAATATATAAAAAAAGTTATCATAATCCAAAAACTAGTGGATATAACTTTATAAAACCATTAAATTTTCTGCAGTTTGGCACAACCCAGAATAACACTTTATCAAGTATCAACAGTGAAAAACTCCACCTAGGAATTGTGTAACTGTTAATCACTAACTAGAAATAATCAAACCTTATTCTTCTGAAGGGAGTTGATGTCAGCAACCTTCAGGCCTGTGGGGCAATAAAACTGTAGTTCATCACTTGCAGTTGACAAATTATGTGCAACGGTTGGCTTGGCAATCTGACCCCAAAATCTGACTGGTGAATCGACTTCTGTGACTAAAATCACTTTTTCCTGTTCCTAGATCGATTAAATAAGATTGCTTTTTCAAGTTGTAATGTTCAGCTATAGCTGGAATCATTAATCATAGCACCATGTTATCTGACCTCACGACTTCTCTGTCGGTCAGAACTCCATTCCTTCTTTTGAGGATGTGATGAGTTTCCATAACCACCTCCATAATCTGAAGTTTCACCACTACCAAACGGCCTTGTCCGAGGTCGTCTGCAATCTGAATCATTCACTCGCTTGTGTTCAGAATACATTTTGCCTCGAGGCTGACCAAAGTCTGACCTGCCTTGCCTAGAAAGAGCATAGATTTTTATGAAGCTTTGAAGCTACAAAGGTAATCAAAGTTATGTGTATTTTAATGCACTCTCTGGTATTTCATGGAGACAAACCACACCATCACTATTTAATATTTATTACAAAATAACATAATATATTTTGTACCTTTCTTGTTTGTATCTGTTTCTTTGAGCAATATTTATCTGAAATAAAATGATGCTTAACAAGAGACACGAAATAGTAACCAATAGTTCTTTGTTTACAGCAAACCAAAAATTGGGAAGTACCATTAAGTATTACAATTGTAGCAAATATGTACTATCATAGAAAGATTCTACAAAGTATTATGCACAATATTGATTGATTTAATTTGCCAACAATACCTGCAAGCTAACATTTTCAACAGGATTATGAGCCAAGGCATCAACTGCACATTTTGCCATCTCCTCTTGTGGATATCTTACAAAACTATGACAACAAAAAAATTTTAAAATATGCTTTAGACATATATTTGTACAACATCATATTTGCAACAAGGGTATTAGACCAATATAGTAATTGAAGGTAAGGAAGTGAACCATTGCAAATAGACCTGGACAATTTAAAGCATAAAAATTGACCAGCAAAAAATTTTTACTCACGCAAACTGTAGTCTGTTTAAATTCTCTGGGCTATTCCTTAAATCTACTGATTTAATTTCACCGAAGGGTTGAAAAATTTCCATTAGTTTCTCCTAGAAAAAACCCCAAGTCATTAGTTCCCTGGAGTCAATCATCAGATATCTAACAATTGACCTGTAAACTGTATAGTCATAGTTCCACCAAAAAAGTAACAGTCAATCAATACATGGTCTATCTCCTAATGACTATACCTGCCTATGGTGCTGGGATTGGACAAGAATTGGACAAGTTATGTCTGAATCCAAAGATCACTCAATCAGAAAATTCTGCATGTTGATCAAAGGATTTTTTGGCAACATTTTTTGATCACTAAATATCAAATCACTTTGATATTGTGTTTTTAACATCTAACTAAAATCAGTCGACTACTAAGTTTCGTTTTTCAATCAAGCTGGATTGGAATTGTTAAAAAGTCACCATTAATGTTTCCGCTACCACTGAAATGACACAGGCCATAACACCTTCAGTTTCATGGGCTAAGGGTTGAAGTATAAAAACAAAACTCTGGGTTGGGGTTATAACTTATAAGGGTCATGTTTGGTTTAGAGCACTCTCCTGTGCAAAACTGAAGATATTTGGAAGAAAGAATTAGTGGTTGGAATCTTGTTGGTTTGCAGAACAAGTCTATGCCAAGGGTCCATTCTTGGCATGTGGTAGAGAGCATTGAACAAATTTGGAATAACAGGTTATCAGTGATGGGGGGCCGGGGGGGAAGTCTTATTGAAATAGACGTCCCATCCCATTGGAGTATAATTTGGCCATTGGCCTAATTTTGGGAACATTACCATTACATACTCAACATTATTAAGTAATCATACCACCACATGAACACAAAGCAACAGATCAAAACATTCAGCATACAAGAGTACAAACCTTCGTCCAATCTGACGGGATTCTGCCCACATAAACGTCAAATGTAGTCTGCCATCCTCTTCGTTCAGTTTCTCTCTCGTTGCTGTTGCCTGACCTACGAGGACTTTGATCATGTTTTTCCGACATCGGCGAGCGATCGGAGCCAAATTTTGACTTCTCGGACGAGCTCTGCATCGATATAAACTACTCACCACCCTTCGCTGCCCTCGAACAATATTTTAAATGATTTTTTCGACAATTTTCTAGCGAAACATCGGTGATTCCCCCACGTGTTGTTTTTCCTGCTGATTTCCCTGACAATATTACGTTACGAATGATTATTCTGAGCAGTGAGCCCAACGTTTGCATAAATTTGCACAGCAACATAGTATTATTCATGACCGTATTTCATGTAAGCCTTAACTAAGTGGATCAATGACTTAGAAAATAGATCAAGATTCAAGTCAAAATTATGTCTGAGGTTGGAGAAGTATAAAATATCTATTTTCTTACATATTACGCTTTATTTATTTACTTCTTTGTTTGTTTCTACGTGTTTCTAGAGGTTGAAAACGTTTTTTGAGGCCTTGTTGAGGAGGTAGTTTTTTATGTCTTTCAGACTAGCTTTGTCTGCTTTGATGCGACATTTTCCGTGTTTATCTTTGGCATGTATTATTTGCATGTACGATATTATAATATAAAACAGTCTGTTGTTATCACGCTTTCTTTATGAAGTCATTGTGACCATAAATGACCTAATATAAGAAATTGTTAGATTGTTACTTTGTTGTCATGTGACTGTCAAATGTATATAGTGACCCCACGCCAAGGTCATATTAGAATCTTATTAATAAATAAGTGGATGGTTGAAGGAGCACTCTCCAATGCCAACATTGTCTTTGTTACAGTCTGTTGTTTTGTCATGCTCAGGCATGTTTATAGATAGGTGTTTGTATTTATAGGAACTCAGATTTTTTGGCTGCTGTAGTCACTGACAAGGACGGTGTGCCCATAGTGAAAGGTACCACTGCTGGTGTAAAATTGTAAATACAATAATTATTACCATTGTCATTACCATTCACTAAAGTAGTATGGTCACACCATACCCATCATGATGATTCCAACATCCCTAGTAATTATATATTTACTAATCAGAAACAATTTCCCAAAATTCAATGGTACATAGATAAATTTTTTATCTACCTCTCTGATCAACACTCTCTGTAACCAGATGGTAAAGAAACTACTTTAGAATTGCAGAATCTTGTCATGTGTATGTTTGCCCCACCTTGTTCTCCTAACTTGTAATCTTCATTCGTCTCACTATTATAAATATTTCTCTCAAATCCTTTTACTCACCAGCAACCCAAGACAAAGTGCCAAACAATGTTTTAAGAGGAAGCTTTCTAGCAACTTTTGCATCTGCAACTGAACAAGTAAAGACAACTTTCATTAGAGCAACACTATGTTTAAAATACTAGGATTGTGTTGCTTTCATATGACATCAGTTTGACTGGGAAAGATGAAAATCAATTTCCAAATACAAAACTTTTTTTCAGAACTTTGGTCAGTTCAAACCACTGTCTAACACATTTTTTATGCTTCATTCTAGGCAAGCAAACTTGGTCTTTCAAAGAATAAAACTATTGTTTGCTCATTTTCATCATTTCAAGTATGTTACCTTCAGGCATACATAGTTAATGACAATATGTTTTTTTTCAATTTTTTCCTGCCCCTTCATACTCCATACTGCCATTTCAGATATATACAAGTAAATATAATACATAGAACAACGTATTTATATTTCAGGTCGTCCAGTTTAATTTTCTTCCACTAGTTGTGACAATAGTTGCAACAAGTCAAGCCAACACAGGTATGCAAAAGTGACAAGTGTAAAAGTTAGGTTGGTTCAAGTTTGGTCCAGTGTTTTTATAGAAGAAAATCACATTATAATGCAAATAATTTCAAAACTCTCTGTTCCTAGAGGATTAGTAAGGTCGGCCTTTTTCATCCAGCACAAAGCGTACACTGAAAGAAACCTAAACTAAATTACGCTCGGTAGTTTCCAGGTTTTTTATTTTATTTTTTTAGGATTGATCCTCAGTTTAGAAAACGAATTCTCAGACGACGTGAAGGAGATGTCTTCTGCAATTCGCGCAATTTCAAAAGATTAAATAAACGATTTTATATATACATTACTCACTATAGTCACGAGTCACGACTAATTTCTGACTGAATAATCATGTGTGGAAGCTCAATTAATGCAATTACATTTTTATAAAGATAACTGGATAAAGTGTAAAAAACTGGGTTTAAAAAATGGGGAAATCCTCTCGTTAATTCTCTTGAAATTTTGCGTGCATCTCCTTTGAATGTATGTGAACGATCTACCATGTCCATGGTCAATAACGAACATTCAATACTCTCATTCACACTCATGAGAAAAATAGCACCAAAAACCACACCAAAATTCAAGATGGATTGCAAGTGTAAAACTGGCTGAGGCTGATACTTCTTCAATGTGGAAGTTTTTAAACTTCCCAATGTGCCAACGCACATGCGCATCGAAGATAGGAAAATCCACTCGTATGTATGTACAGTCAACATCATTCTTTTTCCGGCTTATATTCCAATATACTTTTCAAAACGCTCTGTTGGGACTTGATGGACTGGTGACTAGGCGGTCTTTGAGCAGCAGCGTCGAGGGAGTTGGTCGGAGGAACGTACACACTTTGCTGAGATGCGGCGCGTGCTGAATGACGGGAAGGCGGCACGCGATTCTGATGAGAGAACACGCGAGGGGAACATCGCGATTCGAGTTTACTGCGAATTTCTAAAACAACAGAAAATAGTTGTCGTCAGCCCGTCTCAAATGACGGGCCTTTTCCCAAGTGAAAAAGGCTAATTGTCAACACACTTTAATATCTCCAGTACTTTACCTTCGATTTGAGCGTCACTGGTTCCCGGTCGAGGTTTGAATGGAGAGCTGGGTTTCAGTTCACTTGCAATCCAATTTGATTTCACTCCATTTTGAGATGCGGGTCTGCGGACAAACGAGATATTTTAGAAAAGTTGGAACTATTAACAAACTTGATTCATTGTGGAAATTTAATTATACAATCGTAAACCCTATTGTGTCAATTAGGCAGACTTTTTAAAGGGAATAGTTTTAGGTCCACATTAACACAATAGCAATTAGCAAGACTGGTTTGGATTTTATTTCAACTATGGCTATACCACCATCCCTAGCCTAGGTTTCGCTGGCCTGTCACTCGCTCGTGATTGGCTAAACTCGTAGTATTATATCACATTTAATTGATCCATATGCATCTTCTCCGGCTCAATAAAAGCGGGTAGTGTTGGTACATATTGAAGGTGAAGCTATCGCATTTGATAAATGATAGATACAAACGAAAATTAGCGTATTTGCACCTCGGTTTTTGCAATTCCTCAACCGCAAAAGTTTTCTGCGTTTCTCCTATGTTATCCTTGTCTTGAAGTTGCTTGGATTTTCTTCCTTGTTTTTCGTTATACTCTTTAATGGCGTCTATATCAAGTGTGCTTTCGTGTTGCAACAACTGATCTTCGTAGATTGGCGACCGCACCGCTTGCTGGTAGCCCTCACGAAATTCAAAGTCCGACGTTGATATGGCACGAATCATATCGAGAACGAGTTCTTTTTCTGCAATTGAAATAGTTTTTCAATGCTGAACTTACGAAAGCCCTAGCTGATTTGTACTGAGTCTAAGTAGAACTAGTCAGGTCTCGATTATTCAACAAGGAGTTGAAACGTAAAGCGAACTATTTAACTCTCTAGTACGTTCAATTTTTCACTCAACATGCCTCATCATAATACATGAAGTTAGTGAACCCACCTCTACTGGGAGCATTGACAAGCCAGGATTGAACAGCAGTGATTGAATCTGTTTGCAGAATATTACACAATGTTTCCATCACCTACAATTCAGGAATTGCCATGAAAATGCGCAAACAGAAATTGGCAAGTGGCATCTCATCAACTGTGATGCCGTCAATAATATGATAATATAAACCGCGATCTGAGTAACTTAGTAGTTTGGCCACTAATATATTTGTTGCAGCAGCACCTTTTGGCCTACAGTAACTGCAAAAATCTTAAAAAAAGCAAGTATTTTGGGGAAATGAAACATACCCATCCTTCGTTATCTGTGACAGACATTATGTGTTCCAGCGGCCTCTCAGACGCTTGTCGTGAACACTGTCTTGATGCTGGTGGCATCTCATGGTTCCCTGGAGTCCTGGGTTTATCACCTAAGAGTATAATATAGGATTGAAAGAACTTTTGAACTGAGCCATGATATAATGCTGGTTTTAATGTTGGTGCCTACCATACATTTACTGGACAATGATTTAAATGACCAAGTGCAAAATGTTGGTAATGTAATTACCATGATAGCAATGATCAGATCATGGTAATATTGGCAATGATACTGTTGCTGACAGACCTACCATTTCTGGATGGTGGGATACCTCCATTCACAGCTTCCCTTGATGCAATTGGCCTCTCACTCTGCCGAGAACTTGGTGGCTGTAGTAGTCCAGTTTTGCTGATAGTTGGATGGCGTTTTCTTAAACCTGCCGCTTCTGTTAACTTTGCAAGCTCCTCTCTCCAAGTCTGTGTTATGGGTACTAAAATACGATACGAAGTAAGACATATAACCACTACCGTTATTCGTACTAAACTGGTCGCATTAATACAGTAAATAATAAATTGCATGCAGTGAAGACAAATACTAATATGAATGTGCTCTTTACCGACTAGAAGAAAACCTTAGGCAAAAAAACAAAAATATCTTTCAAAACAAAAATTTCGAGTATTAGAAGCTAAAAGTGAACTCGTAACTATGACAACAACTGTGTCACGCTTTGCAAACACAAAAGGCAAATCCGTAAACCCCGACCAAATAAGACTCCATAAAATTTATTTACCGAATACAAAATCCTTAAACAAAGTACAGACATAAAAGGTTCCTTACCTAAGCCAATTCCCGGTACAGCTTTTTCCTTACATGTCACAAAAGATGTCGAATTTAAAGGCATTCGTAGTCCCCTTACGCGACCGGTTCCTTCAGCGGGCAAAGCTGGAGTTTTGACCAAAAATCTTGCCGGATCTTCGTGCGAGTTGCTGTCTATCACCGTACAAACAGGAACATCTAGCAAGCCTTTAAGATGGATAACTCTTTTCGGATGCGGATTGTGGCGCACAAAAAAAGGACTCTTGCTTGATCGTTGGGGAAAGCTGGCACTTCGACTATGCAAGCCTTGTCTTGAAGGCGATTTCGAGTCGAACGCATATCGGCTTGTTCGCGGCAACTCGTTTAAACTGTCGGAAATTAGTTTGCCGCGGCTTAGAAGCTTCCTATCTGTTGCCACCTCATGCATTGTCGCCATTTATGCCACAAAGATTAAAGTTTAAACGTCAAGTTTTTCCAAATATTCGTGTATACCTTTTGAATTGAAGTGCTGTGTTAATAAATAATGAGTGTATCAAATTACTCTGTACTAATGTAAATTGAACACGTTGTCATGGAATTATTCGAACAAGGTAAATAAAAACACAACGGGCTTGTTTGCAAGTCGAATTAGTTTTAATCGAAATATACTCGTGGGATTAAACAATAAATTGGGCAACAAGGTATTCCGTATTTTCTTTCTTTTAACATTCAAGGCACAAAAAATGAAAGGGGCGAAAAAAACAAGGGGCAAAATTGATTGGTTGAACATGGGGTCAAAATCAAAGCACGGGTCAAAAAGCGTGGTAATTCTCCTCACAGACCACACAGAACCATCCTTACTGACAGTTCATACCCACAATCTTGTACACAAAAACAAGCAATTTAAAAAGCAAGTAAAGGGTAACATGGTAGAACTATAGTAATTACCAAACTTGTACAATTGCAAAAGGATGGACACAAATGCTTAACACTAAACCGAAATACGTTTATTACAAAAATTTGAACGAACGAAAAACAAGGGAAATCGCAAACGCAACATCACTTCGCCCAACATTGACCACAAAAACTAACCGTGGGGTTCATCATGCTTCCGAGTTGGTTTTGTGGTGAAAACTAGGTGGCAGCTATGATGATTCCGGATCATAGAAAATCAAATAAATATAATAAAACCAATCGAGTATTTGTACCAATAACTAGTTATTTGTAGACGTAGTTTAACAACCGCGTGCGCCATCTTATTAGCATTTTTGTTGGGTTACTATTGTAAAGCATACAATGAAATAACCAATAATTTAAAATATTAATTCGATGGCCAAAAGACGTAGTTGGGTTAGGAAATATGATTAGGAAACCTTTTGAGTAACCTTTTGGATGCGTATGGAGACAGAGCCGATTCATTTGTTCAGAGAACGGTTATTTCTTCGATGAGATACAAGCTTGCCCAATTATGGCAACATGTTAATTATGGTACATTTCAACCACGGGGATGACAACCAAAATGGCGCATCACGTGACCTGGTGACGCCACGCATGCGCGCGAACGAAGAACACAGAACGAATTCCCTTGTCTTTCCCAAACAAAATACACATATATAAGGACGGTACGAAATAAAATATATGTCTCAATGCTTCATTGGATGATAAATGTATATCACCATGCTTGTATATTGTCCACAACAAAGTTAAACGTTTTAGACGTTTCGTACAATTGGCTCACAGTCAGTGAAACTGATGAATCAGCTATCTGATGGCCGCCTTATTAATAACCATGATCGTCGATATCTTTGCGTAGATCAAACAAGAATCGCTGAGAGTTGACAATCGATAGATAATGTAAAAAATATGATAATCCTTTTATTCGATCCTAAACATGTACGTTTTTCAAAGATCTCGATATTTGAGTTTCAACCAAGCTGGATTTTGACAAAAAAAATGTTCAATGCAACTCTCGTCAACTCTAGTTTATGTGGAAGAAAACGGATTAAAATTTATGTGCCTCAGTTAATATTATTTTGCCAAGGCAAACGATATTGATGGTTTCCGTGGCTTCGTCTTAAATATATATTTGGCCTAGGTTTATATTCAGCTTTCACCCAACATCAAACGGTATATAGGTTCTTAGTAGTTGAACCAGTCTTTACCATCGTGTCTGCATGTGTCTGGAAGATATTTGTCATGTTTGAATAAACAGCATCTTGTAAGAGTATTTGTAACTTATAAGTTTGAAAATGATACAAAGATGCATCACGTTGCTGATGCAAAGTGCAAACTTATTAACGCCGTAATGTAAAAGTATACATGAAGTATAGCTAGGAATAGACGTGGGTTTTAACGTCCAGAATTCACAAATTTAATCCTTAATCTAATCCTTTAGGGTTAGTAGTTTATCTAACCCTTTAGGGATTAGGAGTATGAACTTAGAATTACTACAGGATATTTTTAACTCCTTACTGGATAAACGGGTCATATTTAAGATTTATAAGGATTAGAGATTCTTCAGAAAATGTCTGACAATTTTCACTTGCAAAATTCCATGTGGATCTATATATACTATCAACAACCAATGCTATCTTGTATTGCAAGAACAAAACATGCTACTATACTAAGGCATTCATTCAAATATAGCGTTTAACCACTTCCATTACTTTGGGCATGCATGAATATTCTTTCAATAAATCTCTTACCTGAAAACCAATAGATGCTTTACCAGAAATTTGTAATCGTGATTTAATAACCCTTCTATAAAATCAAAAAACTTGATTTAATGTCAAATTGGATAAAAATTTTACCAGCTTTTAGCCTTTAGGGAGCAAATGATCAGACGAAATCTCAAAGAGCAAATGATCAGATGAAATCTCAAAGTCTGGTCTTACCCTATTGTTATATTAGCTTGTTGTTCCTTAGCGTTTCCTGTCCATACTGCTAGTTTGTCCATCTTAGGTCGTATCTGAACTACGGTACCACATACTAGATCTGAATAGTCATCAAAAGCTTCACCAACTAGGCATAATAGCTACAAAGAATGGATTTAGAAATGTTTGAAATATAACTGTTGAAAAAATAAATTATATATATACATATAGCAAAACTGGTAAAAAAGAAGCAATTTACTACAAAAAGGATGCTAGTAGGGTAGAAACAACTTTTCATGTCTGTCAATACCGTTTCTAACCATATCCTGTCTAAGTCTGCACGTTGAGTCCTATTACTATTGATTAGCCAACGACCACCAAGTTTATTCCTTTCATCTTCCCACATCGGTTTTATGCCATCCTAGAAAATGGAGATGTGTTATTAAAGCACGAAAAAACCCATACAAAACATCACTAGATAATAATTATGATACATGATTATGAGATTACCTTAAAAACACTATAATCACAACCAGACTGTAATTTTGCTGCATTCTTTATATGGTTGTATATCGCCCAAAAATCCTCGACCTTTTGTATTTGAGAATTTCCATTATGGATTTATAACAGAAATAATATTAATGCAATATGATTATCTTAAATCATTTTTGATGATAATTTACAATAATTACATCGCTATTTTGCCACAATAGCATAATCAGACAAATAATGCATTTGAAATGCGCAACACTACCAATATTTTGGGGATCAATGACTTTGAAAAACAACAATTATTTCTAAAGAAATGAATAATTATTAAAATTTACATAATAACAAATTGTTAGGCTGGATACCCAACTGACCAACCATGTCTTACTGACCAACCATGTCTTACTGACCAACCAGGTCTAGTCATGAAAATCATTTTTAAAAAGACACAAAGAATATATAGTTAAACAAATTCAAATGTACCCCCAAAACTAGCAAGTACATCATCAAAGGATACAGTATCAAATGTAGTTATAAGTCTCAGATTTGCTTCCCAGGTTTTACCCTTTTCATTCTTATAAAACCACCAAGCCCATTTATTTTGTAATGGATGTTTGACAGCTAATTCCTTCGAAATATCTGGTTCATTCTTGCTTCCTCAGCTACATTCTGTCGAAAAATATTAGTACAATATAAATTAATACTTTTGAACAGATATATTTATTATGGATAAATTTGATCAGTTATTTTGTCTCATGCAATAAGCAGAAATGCAATTCTTCAAAGAGCAAACTTAAATATTTGTTAAATTAAAATATTACAAACATTTGCAACCACTTCATAATCCTTGGGGTTATCAGATGGGGTTAACACATTGTTTCTTCCACAAGATATACAATTTTAGGATCAAATTGAAAGAGGCAAGATGAGCAATGTGTATGAAATTCCAATCAGTATTTCTCAATGTTTTGAATCATTATAAAGTTGCGGTTCTTATTGGTTTTCAACAAATAAATTGCTCAACCCCCTGCCTCCCTGCCTTTGGCAGCACTGTGTAAAATGAGAAGGAAGTTGAAATACAAAAGACTTCAATTTCATGAAGGTTTGAAGGTAAGATCAAAGACTGGTATCATGTTTTTGGTCAATGAACTTTAGTATATTGGCAGACCTACAACCTTCATGAAAATTCCTTCCCATATAGCAGCTAATTTGTCATAGTGTGGCAAAATACCTTGGGCTATATCTAGAGGGGGATTTTTGTTCATTCAAATGTTCAACATTTAAAAGTTGTACATGTGAATATAGATTGTACAATCCTCTTTTGTAACAAAACGAAGTCCACATATTTTAGGCCAATTCCTTTATATGAGAATTCATTTAATTACCATCCTATAAGATTTACAATTGTTGTCCCACCCTAAAAAATCTGATATTTAATTCGTGGCTATTTCTGGACAATGTGTCTATAAACTGGCTTGACCTTGCATCAAGTAGGTTGCATAATTGCTGTTTATTATATCGAATCAAATAAACATCCTTTAACCTATACAGAACAAATCTAATATGAAATTGACACAAATCTATCCTTTTTTGATGAGACCTATATGAAAATCTAATCGAAAACTGACTTAGCGTACACTACACTTTGATAAGGATAAACCTTAGTCATTCTAGTGCAACTCCTGTCTGAAATGTGGCCGAATCACGATTCATTTTGGCACTCTTCTACGCGCGTACCTCTGGTTTCGGGTTTTTCTTTTTCTCCTTTCCTCCTGATTCGTCTCCCGAAGCCATTTCGGTGGGTTATTTGAGAGAAGATCGTAGTTTTTGTTTAATTTTTGAAGCCACACGTGCCAGAAATCAAAGTCGAACTATATATAAATTATATGAAAAATTTACTTTCGTTTGGGATGACGTCACGTGTTTTTCTACCCACAACGCACGCAAAGAATTCAACGAGGTCACAGGATCAACCACTGAGCTATAATAATCAATCGCGGTGGTTATCTTGGTTATCTATGGATATGGTAACGAAATACCACATTATCGTAGGCTCACAATTAAAGCCGCATAGGTCAGCTATTATACCCCATCAAAAACCACCGTAAATTCGTAACTGCGCGTGGTTGTGACATTAAAAATAAAAATATTCAAGCTCTAAGCCTCCCCAATCAATAACAACCTGTTGTGGTTGTTCTTGACTGACTCCATATCTATAAGACTATGACTGAAATCACTGCGGGTAGTATCAAGATGATGGTAGTATCTATTAAGAGTACTAGGGCCTTTATAAAAGATATATTGGAAAACGTTTCGAGTTTGAGAGCAGGTTGCGTACATGGCTACATGCCTCTCATGAAAACAGCAATTGCTGAGGTTAGCATGTTTAAATAAAGTTTTATCATGGTTTTATGTATGTATGTATTGATTATAAGAATTACTTTATGTGTCCACATAAATATAGTAAAAAATGCCAACATCACACCCTGGGGATGAAAAGATTTTGTTTCAGTGCAATTGGAGCTAAGCCCCATTCAATAACAGCTATACCATGAATAACTGCTGTATATTTTCTGTACCAGGCTGGTTTCAGTAGCAAAAACAACAAGAATTTAATTTTTAAATTTTATTTCAGAACAATCAAAAGTATTCTTGGCTGAGAAGCATCCATTACTACAACAGAAGAAAAAACAAAATGAGCTAAATCAAAACTGCTGAATAGGCCATTTGAATAGGCCATACACCTAGAACATAGGTGCATAACTGCAAAACATCCATGAAACATACCTTTTTGCCAGTTCCTACTTTGGCTTTCTTCGTGCCTCTGACCTTTTTCATTCTGTTTTTCTTTTCCTTCAGCTGCTTACGAGCTGTTTTTGCTTTTTCCATCAAACCATGCTAAAGCAATAAAATCACACATTTAGCACCTTGAAAACTTGACAAATAACACATTGCTTAGTATATAATAAGACACCTTACTCAGTAAGCATTAAAATAATTTCTAAACATTTTCCCATAGACAGAAATTTAACATTTTAAACTTAGGGTTTTGTAGGTGGAAACCCATAGAGTAGCTCAAAAGGTTGCCATGCCAAGCTTTCATAAACTTACTCTGACTAATCTGTATTTGGGTTCAGTCTTTTTAGCAATGTCTAAATTATCATAAATAAGCGCAAAGCCGGTACTTCGTCCACCACCAAACTGTGTTTTGAAACCAAAACAAAAGATCACATCAGCTGTTGTCTTGTACATTTTTGCTAGTTTCTCGCGGATTTCTGTTTTTGGTACATTTGCACGTCCTGGGTGGATGATATCTACAACCTTTAGAGGAAAGATAATGATCAGCTGAGCAGTGTTTCAACTCAACAAATGATATATAGAAAAAAGGCAAAGGATTAATAAACATACCATTTGCTTGCGTTGCAGCAAGCGGTTTGTTAGGAACTTTCTCGTTCTAATGGTCGCTGTGCCTTCACTCTAAAATGAAGTTAAAATTGAATCTCATAATGCATCTCATTAAAAAATCTAAAATAGTAGGTACATCGCTTTTTGATATACAAGCAACCAGCATAAATTATTCCCATTATTAATCCCATACATAACTGCAAAACTAGCTGAAGTTGACTGTTGATATTTTTTTGCTCATGTTAAGAAAGAGCCTTTCAGAACCTTGCTTGACTTTATGTAAGGTCTACTATGGATACTACCATTCTACAGAGTACAGAGTTCTTGTCACAATTTTTTGCTTATATTCCATTTCATTTTGATTAGGCATATGAACGATTGTAACCATATCAGGGTACGAAATATGATCAAGTCAGTATAAATGAGGCAAACAGTCTCTCTGAAGTCCACTAGCAAGAATACTCGTGTACTTAGAATCACATCATCTACCATGACTTGGTCACAACTCACAAAACAGCATATGAAATGAAATAGAATCAAAGCTTTACAACAAGTAATTCTGCAACACGCATTCTGGTAGATTGGATTACATATATGAACTAAAACGTCTTCCCTTCTGTAATATTCTTTGTTATACGATATACAATAACGATAGCATTCGTATAATAATACATGAATCGTAAAATAAATTTCAACATCATTACGAGGAAACTACTGATTTTTTCGGGTTTTAATCGTGATCGATTGAAAAATAAGGAGATGCTTGTATAAAATGTTATACAAGCTATTCGGATTCGCATCTTATATTTTAATAATGATTCGGATTAGTAAGATATTGCAGGGATTCGAAAAGTCTATTTTTCAAAACATACCATTTTGATGTTACAGCAAGAGAGAAATCTAAAAAGAACGCGCGAATATGTGGGAGCTTGGCACGAGCGGTAGTAATTGAAATAAACGCCTCCCTTTAATAAACGCCCCATTGGATAAGTACTCCCTAATAACCGCCCCCATCTAATCATAGTTAATGATCTAATATACACCGTTTTATGGGCACGAAAGTTGCTGGCTAACTGGCAAAATGTAAACTGTTGCTCAAGAGTTGGAAGGGTCGGTCATTTCATATTTTCATTTTCAATTTTCATTATTTCGTCCATTTCCTTTTCTCTCATTTCATATTTTATTCTCAATTTTCATTATTTCCGCTGAGTTTTCAGTGTTTTAATTACATTTCATTGACATTGTTCCAGTTTGACTACCCAGGACCTCAATCACATCTTGGTGATCAGGAAATTACCCAGTGATCGAGGTATTTAAGGTGGTCTTATACAATTTTTTTATTTTGAAAAATATAAAATCTTTTCATGCCATATTGCAAGCCAAGTTTCTCTGAGTGAAAAAAGACTTGTAAGAATCTTCAATCACTATATATAGTTACCCACACCAGACACATCCAATGGTGGAAAATTGACAATTTTTGAAAAAACTATTAAAAACTAGGTTTTAACACTAGAACGACGAAATTGATTTTATCAGTTAGTTATAAATACACTGGCGGTCAAAAAGAACTGCTCAAAACAAGTTAAAATGCTCTCAAATAAACGTAACTGTCCCTCTAACGATATATACGAGTAAATACAGACTAGATTACATGCTAAGCCATATGAAATATTATTTTGTTGACGCTCCTTTGGCCTTATAATTGATGACGGCCTTACACCGGCGTGGCATACTTTCTGTTAAGGTGGTAATCTTAGCGGTCAAAAGAAATTCATCCTATGGACAGTCTTTACAGCAGCCCATAAATCATGGACGCTTTATGAATGAATTCCTCTCCTGCACTATCCCCTTGACATTGTCGCACAGATTTTCAATAGGGTTAAGGTGTTTTGAATGTGCAGGCCAATCCATTTCTGTCACTCCCTCTTCCTGAAACCATTGTTTGACAATATCTTGGAAGTGTGGCAGGTTGGATTACATTATTGAAATATTGTTTGGAATAAGAGAATTATACAAAATACCAATGAAGCTCTCTCCTATATTCGCTTCTTTTTTATCAATTTGTATCTAAACAGTTCCTTTTGACCGCTAGTGTACAATAAAAGATAGATTGTCTCTATTCTTGTTACATACGATAATAGCAACATTTGAGCAATTCTTTTGCCCGCCAGTGTATTTTTGCCTCGGAGCTGAACCTTGAATAAATAAAACTTTTCCAGTATTAAACGTTAAAATTTAAAATTTATATTAATTTTATCAAGTTAGCTTTACTACTTTTTGAGTTACCTTTTCCCAAAATAAGGGGAATGAGAATTTTAGTTTGCTGAGAAAAGCGACGAAAAACGTTTTGCATATATTCATAAATTATAGAGAACAATACAATAGAACAATGAAACAATAGAATAAGCCAATGGGCCTCTTTTGTTTGCTCGGGGTAAAACCCTAATTAATAATACTTTTCGTTTAATTCTCGCGTTCTTTATATATTTTTTTGACAAAAAATATTAAGGATCGATTAGAGAGACATTTAAGTTTCCATCCCTTGAAATCATTTTTAAAAACAGAATAACTGATCGTGATTTTTTTGTATAAGACCACCTTAAACCGTATGCCATGCAATGGTTCGATACCCATTTTAGCCGTGAAATGGGCACGGGTACCCATTTTAGCCGTGCCATGCCATCAATTTCCAGTATATTTGTATTAGCATATCCTTCGGCAGCAAATGCTCTTTATACCCGATTCTGTTTCATAGACAAAACCCGGGGTATACAAAATTGATCCTTATCAGAGATGTTTCACAAGACCCACGCCATACTATAACATTTGAGTAGAAACGATCTAAGGAAGGCCTTTGACGTGCATTTACAGAAGATCTCGCGTTACGTTCATTTCAGTCATACAATTTGACACAGTTAAACGTAAAGATTTACTTGCATTTATTTCAAATCACTGCGATAGTTATATGCCCTTACATGCATGATCTTTTATTATCCCGTACTTGTAAATTAACTCATTTCGATGGCCCAATTTTGATTCATGCAGAATGTTCTTGCTCAGTAGCGCTAGGCTAGACTGATGTTATCAATATGCAGTTAGTTAACCATGTGTTATTGCTTTCAATGCCGCGGCAGCTCCCAGACGCAATGCACATCCAATAATAGAGAAAAAAATACTCTTGAATTCGCTGAATTTGCGTCGGACTACCGCCTGAAGCCACGCAGTCCAACTGTTAATATTCGTCTCCACTTCTAATTTCCCATTGACCATTTGTACAACTACTTCGTGTTGGCGTTTGCCTGCCCAGAAGCACAAGGATATATGATTGGTGTAGCATGAAATCTCCATATTTTTACGAGCCCAAACCTCGGTCTCGGTGGCAATCAAACGTACCTTCTGCATCGCATGTCTACAGTCACCACAGGTGCATTGGTCGAAATATCTGTTTATGTCTTTGTGGCTAACTTCTGGGTTACAACAGATTTCCCTGACCTATAGCATAATTAATCATATTGCTCAAAATCGAACAGGCGAAACTACTAAATTTCATCAAAATTTCAAAGGTGAAAGCACGTCTATGGCCATCATGCATGAGTTCTGAATAACTTTTATTAGAAACTGAAAGAACGCGCAAGCATATGCCATAATAGGTTGTAGATGGTCTCTGAGAGTCACTTACCATATTAGAAGTTTTGAATCACTGATTCCAGAGTCTGCCTTTCGTTTAATTACCACGACGAAGTTTTAAAACATATGGCTCACACTGTGACGAAGCGATGGTATATATAGCCACCTCCTTACATTCCTCACCATAAGGAAGACTTCCGGCAGCACGTTTCTATAACCACTCCTTTGTTTCATTTTTCGTGAAGAACTGATCGTGAGGAAAATTTTACTCTCGCAGGCATATATTTTTGGCTATTATGCAAGAGATCATCTTCCTTAACATCACTTCCAGTCATTTAAGGCATTTGAAATGTATCGACCTGAAAAATGTTTTCACACAGAAAGGAAACACGTGATGGACGAGTCGTTGCAGCATGTTGATTGACCATCTGCAAAATTCACCTTGAACTGTCTGAGTGGAATTTCATCTGCAAAATTCACTTTGAATGTCTGAGTGGAATTTTCATCTGCAAACAGTGTAAAATTTACCTATATATTCACCTACGATATTCGAAAATCTCTACCGGAGAAAAGCATTAAAGCTGAGTTTGGTGATATGGGGCTTGATAATCAATATGTTTCACAAGACAAGACTGAAATTCATGCATCATACAAAGCTTGAAATTCAGCTTGAATTAAGAAACTCGGAAATTTATATTTTTATGAAAATTGTATGTTCACAGACGTTTCAAATGATCAAATCATCTAGGATTAATAACGAAGACGTGTACTTTAGATGAAAGAGTTTCGTTGAGACATGTCTAACCTTCCTCTCTTCATTAAGACAAATATTACCATTTATGGGCATATTGACGGATCACTTGTTGGTTCAATCCTGTAGTTACATGAGAATAAATCTGGTTGATCCAGTTGAACAACATTTTTCTCTTCTTATATACAATGTAGTAACGGGGAGTTGTAAGACTCCTATGTAATAATAGTAAATTTTCATACAACGACAATGTATTCATTAATTTAGGCAAATCCCAATCAAGTTTCATGCTCAGTTACCATGTTAAATATTTCCATGTTACCCGCGCATCATGCATATATACAATGCAATGTTCTTAATTAAACAGGCACAGGCGCAGCTAGGATTGTAACTTTACCATTGAATTTTATCTTTTATATGCACTGTTATTTTCAGGGTGTTATTTTAACACCAAAAACAGGGGTTACGAGATTTAATCGAAAATAATCCTTTTTTTGGGGTTACAAATAACACCGTTTCTGGAGTTAAATTTTAATCCCCATTTTGGGTTACATTTAACTCCCATTTTGGGGTTAAAATAACCCCGTTTTCAGGATCCCGCTATAATACCCGGAAAGAAATAAAGAATCATACAAAAATTTGAGCAAAATTTTATTACTTTATATTCAATCTACAATATTTACAACATAAATACAACTTCATATTGAAGTTTCCTGATAAATCATCAGAAATCTAAACATTTTTCTTTTAAAGAACAAACAAATGCATTGTAAAAACTTTACAAATTATATCCTAAGGTAGGCAACTTCAATCACAATATCGAGATGTATACATGAAAACAATTCGAAAATACGTCAATTAATACCTAAAACTAATCTAAAATAACAAGTGAAATGAAATCTACAATATTTTTACTATATACTTCCTATGTTTTAACTTTGAAAACAAGTTATAGAAGCGAGAAAAATGCGAAAAGTTTTTGATATTTTACTTATTTTTTAAAGGGCCGTTGCTGGACCCGCGCTGCATGTTGACGTTTGAAAGTGACGAATTCGTAATCATTGGCTGTCACAACAGCTGTAAAACAGCCAATGAGGTTACGAATTCGTCATTTCAAACGTCAAAAGTCTACAGCGCGGGTCCAGCATCGGCCTATTCCAAAAATAAGTAAAATATCAAAAACTTCGCATTTTTCTCGCTTCTATAACTTGTTTTCAAAGTTAAAACATAGGCAGTATATAGTAAAAATATTGTAGATTTCATTTCACTTGTTATTTTAGATTAGTTTTAGTATTAATTGACGTATTTTCGAATTGTTTTCATGTATACATCTCGATATTGTGATTGAAGTTGCCTACCTTAGGATATAATTTGTAAAGTTTTTACAATGCATTTGTTTGTTCTTTAAAAGAAAAATGTTTAGATTTCTGATGATTTATCAGGAAACTTCAATATGAAGTTGTATTTATGTTGTAAATATTGTAGATTGAATATAAAGTAATAAATTTTGCTCAAATTTTTGTATG